ATTCAGTGCAGAGACGCAACTGAATCTGTTAATGACCTCATACCTAGGCACCAAACTGTTAGCCAAAGTGTAGTACAGAACAAGCAATTCCATGGTGCTCAAGTTACTGTATGAGAATTTTAGTCCTCTTTGGATTCTTGGGAAAGATGTCGGCATGGAAAGGTGCAAGCACACAAATCCTTTAGATGGCCATTAGGTCTTCATCAAGGAAAAATATCATCTTTGACAGATTTCACAATGCGAGAGCCTTGTACAAAGTGAATTTGGATAAGTGGATCAGATTATCTGAAGAAGTAGATACTGAAACATGCATCTTTGGGATTATGGCAATATTAAATTATTCAAAACAATGAGAAGTATGAGATATAGTGATATAGCAAAGGGTTGATACTTACACTAGCTTAAAATATTACAAGAAGGAGGCTGACAGTTTACCAACGATGTGGAGTTAGCCATTGGAAGTCTGGAACAACTGCAAAGAAACTGAGAAACAAAAAAACAACACAAACGAGTCGTTTTTCAAAAGTTGTTTCTTGATTATATGATATGTATAACTATCAGGCAAACTCAAAAGATCATTGACTTACATGTGAAAATGCTTTTCCACTAATCTCTTGACTACATATATGCATTATTCAGAATTGAAGAGATGAATTCCAGCAAAAATATTCAACAACCAAAATGAATGTGAAGACAAAGATATAAATTTTTGCATCTAATAGCAAAAAAAATGTTCCTCAAAATACGATTTTCTCACTATTTTCTTGTGTGAGATACAAATTGGGAATCTGATTGCTGTAAGGCAGCACAGATTGCTCTACAAACTTTTATTCACTTAACCAGAGAACTTGATAGTGACAATGTTCTCTCATACCCAACTTCTCGTCCAAAATTTTATGATAAAAGGGAAGAAAAACCCAAGCTCTACGATTTTAATCCCAAATCCTTCATAAGAAAATCTTACTTCCTCTTGATTGTAGCCTGAGAGAGTTAAACAACAAGGTACATTCTGAACCATGGTAATTATATCCTAATTAACTCCTGAAAATGCAAATTTCTTTTCTAAAAGCGCCTCACTAATCTAAGCAAAGACATAAACTCCACAGAAGAACATGCCCAAGTTACAATCAAGAAGCGCCAAAGGAGTTGACCACTCTGCGCATTATGTCCTGAAACCTGGCATATATCATCTTGGTAAAATAGTAATTCCTACAATAGTTAATTCACTTACTTTTCTACTTAATGGAAATATAGTACCTCCCATTTTTTTGTTGTCTTTTTTCAAAATTAACAAACTAGGTATGTCATTGAGTAATCCATTTGTGAACTGAAAGCCACAAGATATGAGGAGAGACAATTTTTCTTATGAAGGCATTTAAGACATAAAGAGAGAAATTTATGAGTTAGCTAGAGCCTAGATGTTTATCAAAAACTAAAGATACTTAGATTGGTGCCAAACATGTAATCAGTAGAAAGCAAAATAAGTTGAAATGACAAACAATACTGTAGTGATATGTTTGATTTATTGGGACAGAAATGACTCTTGTTAACACTGACTATAACTGTTAAGGAGCCACAGTTTTCATGCGTGGTTCATACAGATCAGGTATCTGATCCTTGTAGGGCAGCACAAAATAGTCTATGAACTTTGACTCTGCTAACATCAGAACGGGATAAAGAGCCCACTTTCTCCTCTTAAGCTTCTTTACATCCAAAATTTTCAGGACTTGCATGCGAGGTACTACCCTTTTTCCAGACTATAGACCAAAATTGCAGGATGAGAAGCTAAGTAAGCAGGTCAGGAACCAAGCTCCTTCATGTAAAGATTCAATGCTTTCTTAATTCTAACCTACTGACTGAGTAAAACAAAGCGGTAGCTTCTTGAACATCTCGAGTATATCATTACTAGACCATCCAAAACTCTTGAAAATTCCAATCTTTCTTTCCAATGTGGAACTTTTTTTGACAGGCTAACGTATGAAATCCGCAAGGAAAAATAGGAGAGTGAAGCGGAACTCGAAAATCCTTCTCCATCCTATGCAACAGACCCTTAAGCCACTCAGTCTTTTGGATAATATACCTAGGATTTCTAAGCACAAGTGTTTTTAGCTTCACATCATAAACAACACCGGTTAACTCCAAAAAATATTACAAATAAAGAGCACCCCCTTTTTACATCAGAAACTTGGCCTCTAACGAAAGCAAAAACTAGCTACACTTCGCTCTAATTACATAGGAGTTGTTGTACTAAATTCCTACATCTACGTGCTCTATTTGAATTCTTGGTAACCTGTATTCTTTCCATGATCTCCTGCTTTATCTGTTGTACTACATCCTCTTTAAGTACAGTAATGCCTCTGAAAATCTTCCAGTTTCTTGCACGCCATGTGTGGTAAATCACAGCTCCATTGATAGCAGCTGCCAATTTTTTCTTATAGACCTTCCAATGTTTCCTATTTATACTGTCCAAAGACTGTGTGATATTTCCTGATGGTGTCTTTATGTGTGTCCATTGATTTACTTCTTGCCTGAGAGCTGTGATCCATGTACACTCCACAAATAAGTGGATGCTAGTTTCTGTCATGTGTGCATTACATAAACATCATCTGCTATCCTCCACTGGGACTTTCAACTTGAGTAATCTCTCCTTTGTGAGTAGCCTCCCATGCACTGCAAACCATACTATAAACCTTTGCTTGGGTTGAGCTATTGAAGTCCATATCAGGTTTGCAATCTTCAACTTAGGATGTTCGCCAATGAGAGCAAGTTAACTACTAGTTATTGAGTATTCACCACTTCTAGTAAGCTTGTAATTATCTTGCTCATACCAGCTCTTCATTTTGATTCTCAGACCATTTATCTTTCTCCAATACCAGCTATTATCCGCCGGGGCCTGATGAGTCCAAACATTTGTTTCTGCCTTCCTGTACACCCCATGTACCCATTTCACCCATAAGGCTTCTTTACATCAACCCTTATATTCAATCCTCCTAGCTTTTTAGGATAACAGATCTTTTCCCACGCAACCAAGGATAGTTTCTTTCTCTCCTCCGTGCTGGCCCCTAAGTATTCTCTGCATATCTGGTCTACCTCCTTAAGTATACTTTGAGGTAATATGAATATTGCACCCCAGAAGCTATGGATGGAAAACAACACTGCATTAATAATTTGCAGTCTGCCAGCATATGATAGTAACCTTGAATAGGTGACTCTGATCCTTTGAGTTATTTTCCCTTCCAGCATGTGACAATCAAGCTTGTTCCATTTCTTTGGGGAGAGGGGAAGTCCAAGATACCTTATGGAAAATGACCTATCACAAAACCAGTTACTTCAAGCAACTTCTTTTTGGTATTATCACCCGCTCCAGCCATGAAGATACTAGACTTATTCATATTTGCTGTCAATCCTGTTACACTGCTGAAATGATTTATTGCCTCCATAATCCTTTTAGCTGAGCTTTCATTTCCTTTACAAAAGATCATGAAATCATCCGCAAAAATGAGATGAGTCAGCTTCAATGTTTTGCACATTGGATGATATTTGAAATCAGGAAGTCTGCTAACTGTCTTCAACATCCTTGATAGATATTCCATGACCAGCACACATAGAAGTGGAGAGATAGGATCTCCATGCCTTAGCCCTCTCTTCCCTGCAAAGTATCCATTTACTTTAACTGAAAACACTGGAGTAGACACACACCATGATCCACTGAGTGAATTTGTCTGGGAACCCAAAGCCCCTCAGTGCTTCTTCTAGGAACTCCCAACTCACCATGTCATATGCCTTCCTAAGATCTATCTTCATAAGACATCTTGGAGTTGTCTTCCTGTTATAATGACTTAGAATGTCATGACATATTAAGACATTGTGCAACATTGATCTCCCTTGTACAAATGCAGACTGATTCTCTGCTACTAAATGATCAACTTCCCCCTTCAGTCTGTTGCATAGCAGTTTGGAAATGCACTTATATAGTACTCCCTCTGTTCCAATTTATTTGAACCTGTTTGATTGGGTACGAAGTTTAAGAAAAAATAAAGACTTTTAGAATTTGTGGTCCTAAACAAGTCAAAAAGGGGCCCAAAGTATTTGTGTGGTTATAAAAGCTTCTCATTAAGGCTAGAATTGTAAGTTTAAGCTAAATTATTACCAAATTTAGAAAAGGGATCATTCTTTTTTGAACGGACCAAAAAGAAAATAGGTTTACATAAACTGGAACAGAGGGAGTACATTGCAACATGATATTGGCTGGCCAATTTTGGATTGTCCGCCTTTGGTATAAGAGCTATGATTGCTGAGTTGAGTTGCTTGAGAAAATTGCCATTGTGAAAAAATTCTATTACTACCTTTGTGATATCCTTCCCCACTATAGGCCAAACAGCCTTGTAGAAACCACTTCCAATGCCATCTGGACCTTGACACTTGTTGCTATCAATATGGAACACTTCCTCTTTAACTTCAGTGTCTACAACTGGCGTTAGCAACTCCAGCTATTGAGCAATAGACAAAGTAGGACCATTTTTTAGAATCCTAGTAAAAGCTTGCACTCTAGACAAAGTAGGACCATTTTTTAGAATCCTAGTAGTTCAGAGTAGTAACACAAATGAGTTTGCAATAGCCCCTGGATCAGTTTGCCATGTGCCTACATCATCCTTAATTTGAGTTGTAGCTTGTTTCAGCTTCCTATGCTTTATAATTGAGTAGAAATATCGTGTGTTATCATTTCCTAACTTGATCCATGTAGCTTTACTTCTTTGTTGTAGATACATTTCTGCCAACTGTGAAGACTGTTTGAACTTCTTATAAGCCAAGGATTCAGCGTGCTGAACCTCTTTACTTGAAGGATCCCTTTAGAGTTTCAACTGACTTTGTTTAAGCAGCTTCATATCTTCTTCTGCTTCTCTCACAATATCATAAGAATATTGTGACTTCAGAACCTTCAATTTCTTCTTGAGTTGTTTTAGCCTTTTCACTACTTGATACATTTTGCAGCCCTCAATTCAGTCAGTCCATCCTTCTTGTACTATAGCATTAAATTGTGGATGTTGAGCCCACATGTTACAGAATTGAAATGATTTTTTGAAGTTCCTTCTTTCCTCTATCAGTGACACTTTTGCAGGACGGTAATCACTAATTCCTTCTGGAAGAAATATGGCCCTACATGCTGGCATTACATCTAGCCATTCCCCATTAGTGAACACCCAATCAATCTTTGAGAATATCCTTTGTTCTTCATGTTTGTCTTTCCAAGTGTACCTATTGCCTTGTGCTGGTACCTCCAATAAGCCACATTCTTCTACACAGCTGTGGAAATCCTTCACTTCTGCCCGGGTCACAGGGTTTCCTCCTATTCTGTCTCCTGCTTTGAGGACTGAGTTAAAGTCCCCTAAAACCATCCAAGGCCTTGTACATCTCCTGCTATGAGTCACTAACTTCTCTCATAGTTCATTCCTCTCTTCTCTGGTATTCAATGCATAGACATAAGACAATTCAAATGTCATTTGAAAGAGAATGTAATGAACTTCATAGTTGATTACTTGAGTTGCATACTCATAGGAGTGACCTTGTAGTAATCAGGTCTCCAAGTAACCCAAATTCTACCATTATAGTGATACTCTAGGTTTGTAAGGTACTTCCATCCCACAAACATGTTTTTTGCTAACTTCTCAATTCTATTGCTTTTTATTTTTGTTTCAAGTAGACCTACCAACCCTCTATTTTCCGCTTTTCACAGTCAAAGCCTACTCTTTCCTCATTGCAAAGGAGCTTCACCTCATTTTGCTTATTAGGGGCGTTAAGCCCCCGAACATTCCAACTTTGCATATTAATCATCCTCGGGGGATAATTGTTTGGCCACCCACATTTGTGTTTTTCCCTTCCTTATCTGTTATGTTGACCTCTTTGCTATGCAGGACTTGAAAAGAATTTGAATTCTGAACTTGTTGTTGTTGCTTTTGTTGTGGCTTTCCTACTCTCAATGGGGTCTGCCAGCTTGCAATATCCCCTTGTCTTTGCTTCCTTATTTGTCTCCCCACCATTCGCTGTCTATTACCATCAGTTCTAGTACTTATTGCCTCCTTCCTTTGTTCTGAGTTCACCTGGATTTGTTCGTTTTCTTTATTATCATTAGGTTTTGCTTGTGCCATTTGCTGGTAAATTAAATTACCTCACAATGACTAGACCTGACATTTTCTTTCCTGTGAGTGTTGTGAGTCAGTTTATGGATTCTCCCTGTGATAGTCATTGGGATGCAGTTGTTCGCATTCTTCGGTATATAAAATCATCTCCAGGCAAAGGTTTATTGTTTGAGGATCGAGGCCATGAGCAGATCGTTGGATACTCAAATGCTGATTGGGCAGGATCACTTTCTGGTAGACGTTCTACGTCTGGATATTGTGTCTTAGTAGGAGAAAATTTGGTGTCTTGGAAGAGCAAGAAACAGAATGTGGTTGCTCGGTCTAGTGCATAAGCAGAATATCGAGCAATGGCTATGGCCACATGTGAGCTAATTTGGATACAACAGTTGCTCAAAGAGTTGAAATTTGGTGAGATTAGTCAGATGGGACTTGTGTGTGGTAATCAAGCTGCTATTCACATTGCGTCAAATCCAGTGTTCCACGAGAGAACTAAACACATCGAGATTGACTGTCACTTTGTTAGAGAAAAGACACTCTTGGGAGATATTGCTACAAAATTTGTGAAGTCGAATGATCAGCTTGCTGATATTTTCACCAAGTCTCTCACTGGTCCTCGTATTAGTTACATATGTAACAAGCTCGGTACATATGATTTATATGCACCAGCCTGAGGGGGAGTTTAAGATTGATAGTTAAATAGTAGTAAAAACCCTAATCTCATATGTATTAGGAGTAGGACATGTGTTATATATATGGCTCATTGTATCATTGTCAATATTAATCAAGAATATTTTCTCCCGTGCTTTCTCACAGGAACTGTTTGCAATTCCTCTTTGGTGAATTCCAATTCTGGTGTCCAGGCTTTTACAATGAAAGGTTTGTTATCAAAGTGATAAATTCCACCTTGAATCACCTCTTGCTTCCCTACCTCTGTCTCAAATCAAACCACTATCACTCCATTTTTAAGCATAGCAATTCTATCAATGCCATATTTCCCCTACAAACGTTTGATGTACCCTTGTATTACTGTGAATGGGGGATATGCTTAGGGGTGTTCATCGGTCGGTTCCGTACGATATTTAAACATTTCGGTTCGGTATTTTCGGTATTCCATTTCTTAAAATGCTATACCAATACCGTACCTAATTAAATTCGGTATGGTTTGATTTTTCTCATTTCGCTTTCGGTTTATTCAGTTCGGTTTATTTGGTTTGAATATTAACTAGTGCATAGAGTCATAGATGGTAATATTCTTAATTATTGTACTCGAAAGTACAAAACTAAAAACGTTTGTTGACAAATTAAAAGTTTTGTCCAAAGCCAGTAAATACCAACCCAGAGAGAAAAAATTGTACATAAAAGAATAAATTTGATCATTAGAAATGTCTTGTTACTTGCTTAGAGTTAATTGATGAACTTAGAGAATAAAGGAAAGTAAACCTTTAGATTTCTTATATTTATGTTATAACTAATAACATGTGTATTGTGTAATATAATATATATTTCAGTACGATAGCGATATTTCGATATTTTATTTTAAAATACCAAATACCATACCTAATACCATTTTTTTTAAAACTTAAACCAAATACCATACCGAATACCATAATATCAAATACCAAATACCAAAATTTTCGGTTTCAATACGGTAATTCGGTATTTACCAAATTATGCACAGCGCCAGATGTGCCCCTAGCACATAACATATTACTGATTTTCCCCAATATTCAATTCCAGAACTAATATCATCCAATTCAATTTCTATTATTGAGGACTCACCATGAGTTTTAGGTTCTACATATTCCAATTTATAGCCTGCATTTGAGATTTTTGCTATGTCGAAGTCATCCCAGATTGATCCTTGCTTCTTCTGCGTTTCCATCTCCTCTTCAACCTCATCTGCCCATGATTTTTTGCCACTACTGGTAGGTGCTGCTTGGTCCTCGCTTGGTGAAGCTTGTAACACCTCAGACCATATTCGTTGAGATTTCTCTGTTTCTCTGTTTAGGGTTACTGTTTCATTGGTTTTTGGACTTGGCTGAGTTTTCCTTGCTAATTCCTTGCTACTATTACTTGATTTCTGCCCTCGCTGAGCAATTCCATATGATGTGGATATTTCCTTGGCCATTAGAGCCTTCTGGGATGGGATGCGAGCTCTCTTGTCCATGGCTGGCGCAGGTTAGCTAACATGCACCGAGAGAGAAAAGCAAACCATCCGTTTTTTATGGCAGTTGAGTAAGTTTTGTTTTTTTCTCATTTTTTTAAAAAAAAAAACTAAAAAACTAGGTATACCATTGAGTAATCCAAATGTGAACCGAAAGCAACAAGATATAAAGAGATACACTTTTTCTTATAAAGTAAGGCATTTAAGACATAAAGAGAGATGTTTATGAGCTAGCTAGATGTTTATCAAATACTAGAGATACTTATATTGGTGCCTTTCTCCGGAAAACGCATAGTCACTGGAAAGAAAAATAAACTGAAATGACAAACAATACTATAATGATATGTTTGCTTTATTGGGACAGTAATGACTCTTGTTAACACTGACCATAACTGTTAAGGAGCCACAGTTTTCATGTGTGGTTCATACAGATCAGGTATCTGATCCTTGTAGGGCAGCACAAAATACTCTCTGAACTTTGACTCTGTTAACATCAGCACAGGATAAAGACTCCACTTTCTCCTCTTAAGCTTCTTTTCATCCAAAATTTTCAAGACTTGCATCCGAGGTATCACCCTTTTTTCCAGACTATAGACCAAAATTGCAGGATGAGAAGCTAAGTAAGCAGGTCCGGAACCAAGCTCCTTCATGTAAAGGTCCAATGCTTTCTTAATTCTAACCTCTGACTGAGTAAAACAAAGCGGTAGCTTTCTGAACATCTCGAGTATATCATTATCAGACCATCCAAAACTCTTGAAAATTCCAATCTTTCTTTCCAATGTAGACTTCCTTTGACAGGCTAACGTATGAAATCCGTAAGGAAAAATAGGAGAGTGAAGCGGAACTCGGAAATCCTTCTCCATCCTATGCAACAAATCCTTAACCCACTCAGTCTTTTGGATAATATACCTAGGATTTCTAAGCACAAGTGTTTTTAGCTTCACATCAGAAACACCACCTTTTTTCAACAATAACACATTAGCCTCAATAGTATGATGAGAACCAAAAGAAAGCAACCAAGGAGTTTTCTTTATAGCCTTAACTACATTTTCATCAGTGCCCAAGGTTTTCCTAAGACAATCAATGGTAGGTCTCAAATGAGTATCTAAACCTCGATCAAAAATTGTTATATCTTTAGCAATTACATTCACCAGGTCGGACCCGAATAACCCAAGATCCATAAGGCACTGGAATTTGGAAACATCACGTAATAGCAATGTGGGTTCTCTAGAAACTATTTTTTTAATCTGGGTATTGTCCAAACCACTTTGTATGAAGAAATTGAGGACTAAATCGGGATTCTTAAAGGTTTTGAATGAAGTTACCTTGGAAGATGTAGAGGTTGCTTCTTGTTTGGAAAATCCTAGTGAATCAACCAGGTATTTCACCAAGAAATGGGTCGGGGCAGGTGTAGCGCTTGTTGAATAGACAAATCGGGATTTGAAACCCTGAAATGTGGATACAGCTACAGCTTTGCCTCTGAAACTGATGAGCATATCGTTTAGCTATTTTTCTATTAACGTTGCAACAATAGAAAAATACTTCCTTTTATAGATAGATGCCTTGTGTTTCCTGTAATCTTGCTCCCTCTCTCTTTCTCTCTCGGATTGTCAAAAGTGCTATTTTTAGTTTAGATTCTTTTTGACTCAAAACTAAAGAATGATGACATTTAATCCGTGTACATTTTGCCAATGAGAAAATGCCACGTGTAATTTTAATTAAAAAATTTGTCACCTATTATAAAACAAAAACAAAAAAAAACAATAATAATAAATAAACCCTAGAGACCTAGACCCCTCCCAGCCACCCCCTCTTCTTCTTCAACCAAGAGCAGACCCTAATCCCCCTAAGAATTCCAGTCACCCAACCTCCTCTCCAAGGCGCCGCTGCATCTGTCCAAACGACCCTTTCCTCCTCGAAGTGCCTTCAACCGTTTCCAAACAGCCATTGACGCCGGTAATAGCCATGACCGCGGGCAACAGCCATGACCGCCGGCAACAATCATGAACCACTCCCTGTCTATCGTCCATGTTGCTGCAAAATTTCGAATTTTTAGGGTCTGTTGTTTTTGCTTCTGAGTCGGGTTTTAGAAGTAGCCGATGTAACAGTGGCAGTAGCGTCGTTGTTCGTTGACCTTATTTGCTAGCAGAATTTTTGCCGGAAAATCTGTTCCGGCGAGCTCCATTAATTGTGATGGGATTCTTCAGACCGGGTAATAGTTCCAACTATTACACAGGCATATGGTACAAAAAAGTGACTGAACAAACTCCTGTTTGGGTTGCAAACAGGGAACACCAATTTCTGATAAAAGCTCTGCAGAGCTAAAAATCTTAGATGGTAATTTGGTACTGGTTAATGGGTCTAATACTTCAATTTGGTCCACAAATATCAGTTCAAACAAGTCCAATTATGTGGTAGCAGTTCTCCGGGATGATGGTAATTTAATCTTGAGAGATGGTTCGAATTCAACACTACCACTTTGGCAAAGTTTTGATAACCCTGGCAATACTTGGTTGCCTGGTTCTAAACTTTCTTACAACAAAATCACTCAAAGAAAGCAACTTCTTACTTGAGAAAGAGTGAGGAAAAATGGGCTCCACCAGTTAAATTAAAAAAGAAAAGAAATAAACACAATTTTGAAAGTTTCACTTGCTTCAATGCGAGTGTAGTACATGCATTTTGCCATGTCACTTTGAAGGGTTTAAGAGATACACTGAAAAAATAATTTGAGGTGTCTACTTGATAAATAGGTCAGTTAGGTGTTCAAATGACCGTTGTGGACAACTTGGAGGGATCATTTATGTATTTCGCTTTTTAACTTTCTAAGTTATTTTGATGTATTAAGTAGGATAATGTAAATCATAATTTTTTTACAGCTAATAAGGAATTTTTAGATACTTATACACTATTGAAAACTTTATTACTCTCCCTATTCAAGTTTCAATTTAATTACATCTTATATACAAATTTACCATTTAAATACACTTTAGGAATTAAATTAGTATCACTTTATATTAGGAATCAATTATTTCTCATCTTTATTCTCTCTCCTTCATGCGCGCTCTCTCTCCGTCTCTCTCTCTATGTCTCTCTCTATCTCTCAATCCCTAATTCCAGTAATGTAGAGCAAAGAAAAATAGAGCAGCAATTCCACCATTGATGGTCATTACGAAGCTTTGAATCTTTGAATTTGAATTTGAATTTGGGTTTTCAAAAACCATTATTTGTTTGGATGAGTGTTGTTGCAAACAACTGAGCAATTTTGAGGGTGTTTTGATGAAGATTAGACTTGATTTTGGTTGAATTTTAGAAGAAGAAGAAGAAGAAGAAGACATGACATACATTATACTTACGAAATTATAGTAAAATTATAGAAAAATTGTATTTTGTTGTTTATATATATATTTATTTAACTATTGTATGAAAGTTGAACAATATTGTATAAAAATTGTATTTAAGTTGTATGATATTGTAGTTGTATATAACTTAGTAGAAATAATGTATGAAAATTGTAGATAAGTTGTATAATATATAATTAGTTGTATGAAATTTGGTTTTACTATGTATAAATTAGATACAAAATATACAAAAACATATTGTATAAAATTTGTGTAAAAATTATATTTATGTGGTATGATATTGTAGTTGCATATAACTGAGTGGAAATAATGTATGAAAGTTGTAGATTAGTTGTATAATATATAATTAATTGTATGAAATTGATTTTTACTATGTATAAATTATTTTTAAACAACTTGTAAAGATCATTTGATTTTTATTTTCAGATTTCTTACGTGTAAAATGACAAATTCCTCCTTACTTTTAACATAAAACTAAAGAAAACTTGTACCCTATCTATTCTAAGTGGCACATGCAAGTAATGACTATACCCTTTTCTTGTATTAGAGTTTGAAGTTATAATTGAACAGTTGAAATCATTTGTTTAGAAACGAATTAGCTAGTATTAACTTTATTATGCCTCTGCATGTGCAAAACTTTGAAGTTGGCAAACAAAGAATTATAAGAAATGAGAATAATGTAAGAAAGATTGTGGCATATAGTCTCAACTTAAGGTAATAATATACCTTCTCTGCCACACAGTGACAAGACTGCAGAGTTATTTAATTTAGCTAATTCTCAGCATCGGTATAAACATTACTTCGTTAATTCTTTTTGTTGTATACCTCTGCAAGTATTTTTGTGAAGATTCAACAGCTTTTGTAGTGAAGTTAGTAAATTTACATCTATTTAGTTTCAGAAACAGAGAATTTTTTTTTTTGGACAAAAAGGAATATGGATTGGTGTAAATGTGCACTATGGGTGAAGTTAGCAGATTTAGTTGGGAAATTTTTTACTCGAGATATAGGGAGAAAGAGAGATTCTAGAAAGAAGAGGGGAAAGAGGAGAGAAAAAAGGGAAAAGGGTAATTAAATCCCTTGGTTGAAGGCACAAATAATGGATTGGGAGTCTTTTAAAGTGGATTGTATATATTTTGTAACTAAAATATGTTTAGGTCGGATAAATACCAACACATGAACATTTTTTCATAATAGTGTTTCAAATAGTATATTGATATGAAAATATCCCTCAAAATAAATACTAAAATATATTGCGATCAACATACAAATTTTTTCTCTCCCTTTTCTTCAATTGAGTGGTTCATTTCTGTCTAACTTATTATTGTACCCGATCTCACACCTATAGCGTATTATATGCGATTTGTATCTATCTTGATATCATAAAAAATTCATAATTATCCCATTGTTTTTTTTTGCGAAAATTTCTTGGCCTCCTTCGTCTGAAATATTTTGTGTGTCACCTGGACCTTCATCTCCTATCTGGAATTCTTCGTGATCTGAACCTTCTAAAAGTAATTTCAGTACGAAGTTTCGGAGATTAATCATTCTTTTTCTTATTCGCTGTTTGATCTGTCGAGCTCCTGGACAATTATTTTTATAATAAAAGGTCACTTAACGTTATCTAATTATCAAATAAAGTCGATAACTATATTTACCCATAACAAGGTGTTGCAACTGCTAGTTACTTTCTACGATACTTGGTCAAAATTGAATAATTTTTTTGTTACAAAAACATCTTCGATGAATTTCTGGGATAGTCAATGAAGTTGGACTTAGGGAACCAGTTAAAAACCAAATATCCAACAGCCGCTTTTATTAATGAGAAAATCTCACTTTATACCAATTAATTCCAAAATATTTACCTTTTAATGCTTAGACCCAAACTATTTACTACTCATACCCATACTCCCAAACTATTTACCCGTCTTTCTTCTTCTTCTTCATCCTCATTTTACCTTCCTCACTTTATTACCAGATGTTGACCGTAGCAAGGGAGCCAGCGACTACCAACGGTCCCTTTACTTTTAAATTTTCTAATAAACGCAACGTTTAGTTTCACTTCCTATATATCTGCCCGAACATTCCCTTCGTGTTCATCGCACATTAATCATCAGTCAAAACATCAGAATTTATTTATTCTCCTCCTTCTAATTTTCCTGCCATTATTCAGTTCTTTCTCATTTTATTGCACTGCAAAATGTCTAAATTATTTGCTATTGCAGTTCTTTTATTTTTTGTGTTAAATTCCGGTGGGGCTCAAATCATAAAAGCACCTTCTCAAGCCCCAATATCTTCTCCTTCTAAATCGCCCCAATAATCTGGTAACAAGTTTATATGTTATAGTAAAGTTTTAAGGAAGAAAATAGTTTTTTTGAAGATTTATTGTTTGATTCGATGTGGTTCTATAAAATATTGCTTATAGTATCTTCGAGTAAGCTTCCCAGATCTAAATTTTTGTGTGTATTTGAATATCCATCATTGTTGGGCTTGAAGCTCAATTTTATTTTTGAAGATTTCTTGTTTGATTCAAAGTGAGTGCTGTTAAATATTGTTTATAGTACCTTCTGGAAGTTGATACTGAAATTTGATAGCATTTGGACCTGATTTGAGGTGATTGAGATCGAAATTTTCAGTTGAAAATTGAAGAAGAACACAACTAAAATATATAATATGTTGTAGGAGTATACTGGGTCGTTGTTGTTGTTGTTGTAGGAGTATATAGCTATACTGCAGCAGTACACTATTATAGTTTACAAAACAGTATACCGCTACAGTATACTGATATACTATAGGAGTATATAGTTATACTGCAGCTATATACTATTATAGTATACAGTATATTGTTATGGTATACTGTAATAATATGCAAGATACTGTAACAATATGCTGTAATAGTATACAATATACTATAATAATATACTTATTACCCATAAATTCACTTGTCTTTTCCCTTTTAATTTGTTTTAAGTTTTTACCCGGCGTGAGGGGTAAATTGAAAATGCAAAATAAACATAAAAATTATAGTATGCTATATGATGTAACGATATACTCTTACAATTAGATCCTTTTAGAAATTTTTAAATTTTTATTGACAACTGATATTATTTTAGTTTAATAATTGAATTAATTTTTTTTAACGCATTGCATACAATTGTATACCTTGTTGGTATAGTTATATACTATACTGGTATCATATGTTAGTTAATATTTTTTGATTGTATTAGCTACATTTAATTGGTACACAATTTGATTTTTCTTTAGTAATAATATAAAAAAATAATAAAAAATAGTGAACCAGTAAATGAAATTAGATTATGAAGAGAAAAAGAATATAAAAAAAAGAAGTTAAATGAAATTAGAAAAGGAAAAAATAAAAAAATAAGAAGAAAACGAGAAAAAAGAAAAGGAGAAAAGAAAAAAAGAAAAAAGTAAAGAAAATAAGCATAGAAATAAAAAAGAAATGGAGAATAAGGAAATTTTTTTCCACAAAACCTACTATGGGTAGGAAATGTAATTAGTTTATGGGTAGGAAAACAAATGGGTAGACAAGGGTAAATAATTTTGTTTATGTGGGTAACAGTGTCAAAACCCCTTCATTAATGGCTACTTTGTTGAGAGTAGGGGTGTACATTGGCCGAGTTGGTTCGGATTTTTTAATTATCAAACCAAACCAATGGTGTCGGATTTTTAAATTTATAAACCAAACCAAACCAAACCAACAAAGTCAGGTTTACATGTGGAATTTGGACTTACGTTAATTGGCTATAGCCTGAAAGGATAGTGATGTGGCCCAAGTTGTGGACAAATAAAAGGCCTAATATTATATATTGTGTGTGTCGATAAGTGAGGCCCAATAATCATTGGCTTGTGATTGGTAGACACTCCATATAAATAGAGGTCAACCACTCTTTCCCTATCTATTAGAAAAAAACGTATTCTGCCTCTTGAATACGTGGTAAAGGTAGAAGTCTCATCGGTCGAGTTCTCTGAGCTGTGAGAGTGCGTAGCTAGTAGATTGTGGAAGTTGGTCTCAGGCTTAATCGGCATTTGTTGTCGCTGCTTAATCCATGAAGTTTAACGGTACACTTTTTTTAGACTCTAGCTCTAGATTGATTGCATAATTGTGTCTTAATCTCTATTATGGCTACAAATCAATTAAGTCTCAATGTTTTTTTAATCTCTTGTATTGGTCCTTTTACCTATGAAATTAAAGTACATAACAGACTCATTAATTGATCTAAAAATCACAATACTTTCAGCTCAAATATTATTGTTTGCTTGGAGCCGATCCAAAAGAAAAAAAAAAAAGAAATTGATTAGGTTTTGAGGCTATCGCCATTGCCTGGCTATTGAAGTAGCTAACGGCGATGTTTGTACAGTGTTTCCAACACCACTGGTTTTACACAATAGTTGAGTAAGAAAGAAATTCGTAGTCGGTTAATTTAATACAAATAGCGCCGCATGGTGGTAGGTTTCATTGTTTCAAGAAAGCACTGTTTTAAGCTAATACT